CCCCCCCCCCCCCCGTGACATCGATAGGAATGGGGAAACAGTTTTGAGCAACCTTTGGTAAAGTTGGAAGTAGGAAGGAACGATTGGCCATCGGTGATGGGTCCTGTGGGAACAATATTCCGTCCTCTCGAAGACACGTGTTCAATGGTCGAACCGCTAAGGCATGCCAAATACGAGTACGCCCTCCGCCTCGCCCACGTCCCCCGTACCCAGTTTTCATGTACCAGTTCCGCTGAGTGGTGACGCCGCCCTCGGCATGCCTCTGCGCCACCTATGGTCCTGACTGGGATGTTTTGAAAGAAAACGTCCTGACTGGAATGTCAAGAAATTGTCTGACTGGAATGTTCATGAAGGAATCCTCCTGAATGGAATATTTATGGAAAAGTCGTGCTGAGCGGCATGTCGACAAACAATTCATCCTGGTTGGAAGGTTTAATAAATACAATGCACTTGCATGTTTAATGTTTTGCGTTAACGGCGCACACAGGGAGATGGCACCACAAATAATAGCAGACCTAGATCGCGTTGAAAAAAAAAATCGGATTGGGAGCGGCAGCAGCAGCTCCCACGGCCGTGGCAGTCGCGACCGTGGCTCTTTTGGTAGCGGAGGTGGTAAGAAAGGCGCGGCAACCAGGACGGCCAGCGCCTGCGACATGACCACGGCTGTGGGAGCTGCCGCTGCCCCCCCCCTTCTCTTGGTCCACCTTGCGGCGAGAGCCCGACCGCTCCGTGCGTTGTGGCGTCGTACTGTCTGGAATGTTTACAAACAAGTCGTCCTGACCGGAATGCTTGATGCAGACCTGGTTATAGCTGGAATGGCTAAAAACAAGTCGTCCTGACTGACTTGGCATGTTTACAAAAGAAGTCTTCCTGTCAGGGATTTTCAATGAAGAAATCGTCCTAACTGGAACGTATGTGAAGAACTCGTCCTGCTTTTTTTTTTTTTCGAAATTTATTCAGAATTCGTCGTCCTTACTGGAATGTTTGTGAAACAAGTCGGATGTGAACGGCCACGTGGTGACTCTGTCGCAGATGGGTTATCGATCGCGCGGTTGCTGTCCGTCAGCAGCGGCAAGACCGACTCGAGCCTGCCGGAAGTCACCTCCGGGTACTGCGGGCGTGGAAACAAGGCCAACGCCGGCGTCAAGAGCCTGACGCTGCCTAAGCACAGGCGAGTGTCTTCGTGTGTAGCCTTCGAGTTGGTCGAGAGCACGGGAAAACAAACTTGTGCGTCCTTGAGGGTGCTTGGCGGCTTGCGCCGCAGCAATGAGGGAAGCGATCCCCTAGGTAGGTGCCGAATCAAGACCGCTGAGGTTTTTTAGGCTTTGGAATCGTAGATACTGGTGATCATGTAGGCGATTGCGGTGAAGAGGGACCGTTGAGTTTCTGACTTTGATACCGTGCGGGTGCGTAGTTGTATGGCCACCCCTGATGTACATGCACCTGGCTTGGCTGCCGCCGTGCAGCTTGTGGCCATCGTTGATGTGGTGTCCTGACTTGACTGCCCCAATGTAGCTAGTGACCCAACCTCAACGTCCCATCATGACTTCCGAGTTCACCAACGACAACGAGGGTAATTTTCGACGATAACTCGAAGTCAGTGGTTCACTTGACATGGTAGTCAAAGACCCCGACTCTAGAATACTGGTCATACAAGGTGGACAATCGGTGGCAGAGTGGACACTCCGATGTGCTCTAGGAATCCGAAACCACCCCCCTCAAAATACAGCTGAGAGTTCACGATCACAGCACTGAATGCATGGTGTGCAGGGTTAGAACACTTACCTATACGTTGGAGGGAGTGCTGTGAACGTTGGGGGCGCCGCGGACTGCGCCTTTGTATCATGAGAACATGCCCGACGCAACCTTTTGCTGGGATTTTGGTGCCGTGTACCCTGCTGTTTTTTTGTTTCCTTCGTGCAGCAATCACGCAGAGCCCGCATTGCCCGGTGCACCCCAGGGAACGGACGAGAGAGATCAGCTGGAACCTCTTCGCAAGGTATACTTCATATAACGACTACTGCTGTTGTCAGGATGGAATGGGCCCATGCTCGTGTTTGTGTCTGTATCGGGCAAGCGAAAAACATTGTTTCTTCGAGTGGTTGCGCGAAGCGCCAAATCAGAGCCGAGCTTATTTTTTCGCAAATGTACACACCATCAATGGTAGTCTGCCTTAAGCCCCGAACTGGTACCATAGCACGTCTTTTGGGGTAGTACCAGTGTTCCTTTGGGAGAGCAACCCTTCTGCGTGACCGCGGATTGGTCGGAGGGATCGGGAAAAAAATGCTGTGAGCGCTGATTTACGTGATGAAAAACGTCATGTTGCTGCTTCTGCTGTTTATTACAGCACTGGGCCCTCTGTTGTGCAGGGGTGTGTCCAGAAATCTTACCTGCACTATAGCGGGCACCTGCACTAATCAGAATAGTGCGTCAATAGTGCAGGTTCGGCACTATTGAGGCTTTGAGTATACCTCAATAGTGCAGGTCCGGCACTATCGAGGAGATGTTTGATCTCATGGTGTGGCGCTCATGCTTTGCGGGGCGAACAGAGCACGAAATACCGTGGCAGTGTATCGAATTACAGCAGTAGTGCTGGGCCCTGTTCTAGCGTGGGCGTGGGCAGACTGTCCCGCGACGCGTATGGTTCCCCCCTGCCGCACACACAGCGATGTTGTAGAAAAATTACTTGCAAGTTGCACCGTTAATTTCTTCCTGTCTCAGCGCTTGTTCTGTGCGGCACACCGTGAACTGTCGCACGAACCAACACTTCAACATAAATACTTGGTCCTCGGTGCCCCCGTTCACTGTTGCAAGATAAAAAAAATATGTAACACACCAGGAACCGCACTACAAGAAAACAAACAACCACTACTGCTATCGCTGTACCCCCCTCCCTCACTACGTCGCGAAAGATTATCTCATGTCTGGCTGGCGCATCCATCAACTTGAGAATCTCAACCTTCGTGTTGTTGTCCGACCGCGCACGACATCCAGAACCCTTCTTACTTCCCCCCTTCGTTTTCTTCGGGCGTTTAGATGGCTCCGCCCCAGCACCCGCGGCTGGTGTCGCTTTGCGCTTGCCAGCCTTGGCGATGCCCTTGCTGCAGATGCAGTGCATTTCGTTGTCCTCAAACATGCTGCCTCAATTGCCGTGGAGCCGCCCGCCACGCCCTCCCTTGCTTACGTGGCCATGAGGGGCTCGCGGCATTGTGTCTCGTTGATGGCTCAGTTCACCGTCCGCACAAGGCATGGTGCGCCTCGGCGTAGAGCTCTTCGGGTCTGCAGCAGCACATGTCCCCTGGTTTCTGTGTTGGGTCTGTCCGCTGTCTTGTCCGTGTGTGTTATTGTTAGTATCGACCGCGCTAACCGGCTGACCAATGAAAAGATGTCAGTCTTAGTGCGATTGAAAACATAAAACACTCCTAAATGCCTCTCACTAGGTTTTTTGAGGGGGCGGCTTGGGGGAGACTAAGCTATTCTCCGGATCAAAGACAGAAACGGTAGCAACAGAAGAAAACTGCACGGGTCGACGAAGGCTGCTACCTTGCACTCTATTCCGTTTTGGAGTGCTTTCACCGCCATCCTCCTTCCTCCCAACTCCATCGTTCTCACTTATCGTTTGTGTGTGTGTCCAATCTGCACTACTGCGGGGCACCGCGGTGCCCAACCTGCATTATAAAGGGCGCTGTCTGTCCAGAGATTTTACCTGCACTATACCGGGCACCTGCACTATTCACCCTGCACTATAGAGGGCCCAGTACTGTATGTTGTTTGTTGTTGTTGCTGCTGCTGTTGTTTTTGCTCCTGCTGCTGCTGCTGCTACAACTGCTATGCTACTGCCTGCTGCTACTGTTGATTTTGCTGCTGCTAGTGCGGGGCACCATCTCTCGCCGGAGCCGAGACCGTCGGAAGTAGAATCGACTACTCCGATCTCGCCTCGATTCTCATGGACGGCGGCTTAGACGCGTGCAAGGTGCTTCGTGCAGGAGTAGTAGTTGAACAGCTGTGTGTCTTGGCGGCACGCCTTCCTTTCTTGTCAGCTTTGTACCAACAACCCGGACATACGATGTTTTGTGGCCCCCCTTCGAGGAAGTCGCTGCTTGCCCGTCATGATAACATTGATAGTAGCTGTCGATCGCTCGGTTGTCCCTCAGAAGTTCTTGTCCGTCGTTTTTAGGAAAGTACGTATAGCCACAGATATACTATTACCCGTTCGAGAAAATTCACCACAGAGGGATGTACCGAAAATGACACAAGATAACACACCCCCTGGACCAATTTGTCAAATCTTGATTTCTCAACTGCAGAAGGAGTCATAGCGCCGAAAACGGTGGCGTTGAAGATGTCTCGTCGAGAGAGCTTTCCGAAAATTTGTTTCATTTATTCATCCTCTTGGTCGTGGCGTAATTGAGCTTTGAAAATTGGTCCTGGTGGTGCTATCTTGTGTTATACAGTATACGGTAGTGGAAGTCTTTGCAGCGAGAAACCGGCTGGGTTATCGTTGTTGTTGTATTCTCATTAAAAATGTTCCGATCCCCCATGTGTTCGGACTTATCTACCGCTTGACGCGGTCGATTCTCATGGTCACAGGCCAGCTTACCCTGAACAATGGTTAACTCATACTATATTATGGAGTCGAAAGGATGTTGGGCTTATTTCTTTGCTTCCGGGCTACACAGCGTCTAACACTCGTTTTGCGCTACCGCCATTTCGTTCCCGGCGGCCGAATGCCCCCCCCCCCCCCNCCCCCCCCCCCCCCCCCCCCCCCCCCACTGCTTTGCCGAAGGACGGAGCGGAGGTGAGAAGCGAGACCGTAAGTCTAGGCGAAGACCCTTACAGCGACTACGCGCTCTCAGCGGAAAGCGACATCTTCCTCTGGCCGAACCACCGCAGCACCGGTAGCAACAGCAGTGCTCCCGCCACCGAGCCCAGCCGCCGCGGGTCTTCCCGAACAGAGCAGGACAAGGGGCTCGCGGGTTTCGACGGGATTGTCGACCCGTCTGATGCCCCGGACGGGCTTGAAGCCTCGGTCTTGGATGTGGATGCAGAGGACCCGTACTATTACTACTTCTGAAGCTACGAATATGTGTTTGCCTCGTGAAGCTGGTTTTCCTCGAATTGTTTGGTGCAGGACGTGTGGGGGTTTGTCGAAATTGTCGTGCGGTGTAATTGAGAGGCGTTGGCGCACGTGACATCCGGCCCCAGAAAAGATTGTGGTTGCTGAGGAGGAAGAGAAGTGCTCCACAAATCTCTCGTCGTCGCACATAGTTAATTAGTAATGAGACGATCCTCCTCGTTTGTGTCGCCCTTGGTTTGCTGTCGGCGAGCGTATAGGACCCCCGACTTGACTACACAGTCACGGGTTATGTGGGGCTTGAATTTAGCTTTGTCAGGGGCCGAAACAGAAAAGGTGTTCGAGAGACTCAAGACCTTTGTTCGTTAACGAGCGGGAGTCACAGGCGAGGTAGGAAGAGCCTCGCCCGTCATGTTTATCGCACCCATACTNCCCCCCCCCCCCTACCTCTACCGGAGGCCCCGTAGTTCGATACTCTGCCGAGTGGTACCCCCAAACAGCCCCCTCGGTAGGATTCCTTTGTAGTTTCTAAGTCTGGGTGTGATGCTTGTTTAGCAACGTGAAGTTTTTCGAGTATGGTATTACCTCTAGACGTCCTCTGCCTAGATGTTTGGTAGTTGAGGGTTGCGTCAGGCACCAAGGTACGGTGTTGGTTGTGCTCCGTTTCGTTCCCGGGTGGCAGTATGTGAAAAAAGCCGGAACCTATGTACAACCAGATTCCTTTCTAATAGTATGTCGTTTTCTTTCTGTGACTTTGCGACTAAGGAGGAGCTGTGTGGATACGCCGTTAGTGCGCTATCGCCCCCCCCCGTGCTAAGTCGATCGGCACACGTGCTCCAGACCGGTGCTTCTGCGAAGGCTCCACTCGACCCGGTGGTCAGCAACAGGCCTCGTAGCCACGCCCGAAGCCCCCTGTTCGCAAAATTTGAATAGGTTGGCGTCGCGTGGCACCGACGTTGTAAAACAAGCCACCAGACCCTAGATAGACATGAAATAACTGAACTAACCAATTTTTGTTTTCCCATACCGTAACACAAACCCGCCAAGCCAGACATGAAAGAGCTGAACTAACCGACCTTTTATTTTCCCATAAAGTAACACAAACATGACAAGCCAGATATGAAATAGCTGAATTCAACGAAATACATTTTCAGACGCTTACCATTTTTTTTTTTTTCACAGTTGAAAACGCAAAAGTAAGCGAGAGTAGACGGTTATTGGCCACCTTACACACCAACACGAAAGCGGAAACGAAGCATAAATATAGACACAGTAATCCTTTTGGTCAACTGTGCGATGCATATGAAGGTTGGGGACTCGTGGTGAGATAACCGTAAAACATTACCGGTTCCCATGGGGCGGTGGGAATCTGGTCAGACACTATCCTGAATTCTCCACAAGGAGGGGGGTGGAGAATGCAAGACAACAGGTCAGACCTAACATACTCAAGAACCTTGCTTTCAAACGACCGACCAAATGACCCAAAAGAGAAGGAGCACCAAGCGGTACGTAGATATCTTGAAGCTTGAAGGATAGACGCCGGTGCAAAGTGAGGGGGGATTGTTGGTCAAGCTTTCGGCAGCGAAGGTCTACTCGGGAGCGTTAGTGGGGTAGCTACCCATGGTGTACCGTACAAACGTTGATGACCGTAACTCATTTATCAACCCTGGGTCGACTTAGACCGCCGTCAGGGAAGATAGTGCTCTCTGGCGTCTACGAGGAGGAGATTTTTATGTTTAGTATGTCATATAAATCAAGGAAGTGACGGACATCCCGATGTGTGAGTGAGACCTTCTGTTATGCAAGCCACCCTTGAACCCTACATGGGGAAAATGACCTCCCCGGAGGAAAGTACCCAGTACAGCAGCTGGGGCAAGTAGAGAGAAGATACGGTCGTGGGACGCTTGGGTTGGTTACCATGCAGATCGCCTGGCACAAACGTGGGGTACTTGTGCTAAGGGTGTTGAACTTGGCTCCAGGCTATGAGCCCATGTTGGAGGCACTTTTTAGTGTCGGTGAGCCGGCAAAAGAATCGAAAGACACCAGACCCTCAACAAGTACTAGGATTGGGAAGTCCCAGTAGTCTAATTTGAAAGCATCCCACTTCAAACAAAAACAACGAGATAGTCTCGAAAGAGATAAGGAGGGAGACGACAAGGCACAAAGGGTGGAGAAAGAGAGAATGGAACAGTGCAGTACTGGTAGTGTTGATATTTGGGGTCAATAACGACATGACAAGGTTGGAGTTCAAAAGTATATGTGAAGAAGTAGGATTATATTGCTCCTCACGCGGGGGGGTAGAAAGGAAAGGAAACCACTTTAGAATCACGTTTGGAAGGAGAGTAAGCGCAGAATGGGAAAGACTGGAAGTAGAGAAGATGTCGGCGTGGGTGAGGAGACTAGGTTGGAGGGTGTGCATAGCAAATAGGATCCAGGAAGTAAGGCGTAGCCCAAGGCTGGCTAAAAACAAAGGGGGGCAGGAGGTTCGAAAGGATCAAAATGGAAAGCAAGCCAAAGTAGGGGAAGGGGGGAGCAGCGAAAGGATAAGGCAGAAGGGAAGGCAAACGAGGGACAGAAGGAATCCTGAAAGGCACGGGAAAG